ATATAACTTTTTTGTACTTAGAGTTTAGTTATATAGTTAACAGTTTAATAATTAATCCTGACCATAAGTGTTGGTTTGACCATAATATTTATATAGAACTACTTTTTGTGCTTAGTAACTTCATGTAGTTACTAACTTACAAACTACAAATAAAGATACAAGCAAGGCTTCACCTTAATACTAAAAAAAAAATTTATTTGTTATTATTTAAATATTTTTAAAAATTCCAGACAAATTTTCCTAAAAGTAATTTACAAATAAGGTTTTTTGAGAAATTCTGAACATTTTACTTAGTTTACCTGACCCTAATTTCCTTAACAGTTTTTGAAATATAGAACACCCCTGGTATAAATTATGTTTTAAAAATTATATTGAAAATATAAAATATGGTCTTTAATGAATTATACTTTCAAATAAGTTTGTCCATACCGGTTCAGACTATCTGATTTTAAGACTGAATGTAGACTAATTTTTTTAGTTTCAGACTAGACTTAAGACCATCAATTTTTTAAAAATATCGATGTCGATAAACTATTTGTGTAACTGTACTTCAAAACCAAAAAATCTGTTACGTTATTTTCCACGTGAATTTTCGTCATACATTACAATTATAAAGATCGATCAAAATCAATTTCGGCTGAAATTTGTAAAAAGAAAATGTCAGATTTAGAATATCTTCGCAGCCTTATCAAAGCCATACCAGATTTCCCTCAAGAAGTAAATTTAGAGGTTGATCGACTATTTATATTTTCAAAGCTGATTTACTAATTGTTACTTCAAAATAGGGTATCATGTTTCGAGATATCTTTCCAATTTTTCAAGATCCAAGAGCAATTGAGATGCTTGTAAGTCATATTGTAAACCATATTAATGAAACTATTAAGGAAAAGGTTGATGTTATTGTTGGTAATTTATTTCATCTGCTTCTTCGATTCTTTTTATTGCGAGTGATCTATTTTACATCATAATTGGCTTTTTTATATGTTGCGAAAAAGGTCTTGATGCACGAGGATTTTTATTTGGGCCAATGGTTGCATTAAGGTTAAATGCTGCTTTCGTACCTTCTAGAAAGAAAGGAAAACTACCGGGAGAAACATTGAGCGCAGACTTTAAGAAGGAATACGGTGTGGTATGGTCAACATTCTGTTTTGTTTCTTGATTTATTATGAAATTTTACATTTATTAAAATACAACTTATATAAGGACACATTTGAGATGCAAGTGGGTGCAATTAAATCTGGTCAGAATGTAATTATTATGGATGACCTAATTGCTACAGGTTCGTGCAATTGCACTATTTTTAATTTAGCAAAAATATGCGCCTATAATCCCCTTGCGTTTATGCTTGATAGGAGGTACAGCTGTGGCAGCTGGACAACTTGTAGAAAAAAGTGGTGGAAAGCTTTTAGAATACATTTTTTTGATCGAATTAGCAGATTTAAATGGCAGAAAGAATCTCACGGCTCCTATATATTCTATGATTACGTTTTAGCATTTAGACGCAACATTTTTTGTTAAAAAGGTTAACTCTTTGTATTGAAGTTCGGAGAATATAGTGTTATTAAATATGTTGTTTAATACGTAGTCTAATTAAAACAAACTCCGACGTAATTTATGTAATCTTGAAAATTTCCGTTCTTTAGACAAATTTTATTGGTTGTTATATAAGCCTCGTGTTATGGAAAACAATCAAAATATGTTATGCTAAGGTTTTTGCATTATCGTTATCATTATTGCCAAATCCTAACATTTATATTTATCGATTAAGAATATATATCGATATCGATATATTAATCAAGATAATTATTATGTGGTGTATAATTACATCCCTATAAAAAAAAAATCGGTTTGAAATTATCCAAATTTTTGTTCGAAAAATCGACCCGTTCTGAATGTTTATTGGATATATAGGATGTATACGTTTTTGTACAATATTAATAATCATTCGCTCAAAAATTCTCTATTTTCACATACATCGTAATGAAACAGCCTAAATATAAACTCCTGTTCGAAAAATCGATTCCATTCCGAACAATTTTAACACATTTTTTATAGGGCACCTAATAATGTAAATTACCAAGGAAGGTCATCTTTTTAGGGTCAGTTTTTATTAGATAATCATTAGGGATGTTTCGGTCTAACTCCAGTCCTTAAAAAGTTTAATACACAACACAATGTTGACGGTAGGATGTTAATAATCTGGTCTGATCTTAAATTGTTGAGTCATGATCGGTCATAGAACTAGCCTGAAACTGAAATAAACAATTTTAAGGTCTCTTGAAATTTGGACTGTTAGTGTTAAAGTTCGATTATATAAAAACCAGATTAAACCAGAATATATTTTGATCATTACGACGTTTTTAATAGCATTACAAATTATGACTACATTTTATATAAGCCAATTTGAGTCTAATAGAATAACTATAAATAGGGTTATTCGTTGCAAATAAAGACAGATACACTCTTTTGCTCAATTAAAATCGATCTCTTTGCTTGCACTAAATATTTTAATGCTTACAACCTGTAACTAAATTGGCATTACGATTGGAAAGTCTCGTAACACCATACGAATTAATATTAAAATTATTAAATTGCTAATCAATTAGGGTGTTCGGGATGTTGTGATGTGTGTGCAATCGCAATTATTCCAAATTTTGAAATTAAACAATTATTTTTTGATGCATTAATCTAAAAATTTCTGGGTTAGGATAGTTATTACATATTGTGTTACATTTATGCTTATTGGGTTTTAGACCTTTAACGTAATTAGATTGCTATGTATAAAGTTTTAAACCCGTTATTGAATAACGGATCTAATACTTTATATGCTTAACGTACGTACTAGCTATAAATAATACATAAGTGGTCTTTTTATAAGAGTAGAAGTTGTCTTAATTTTGGGAATATCATGGGGCTTTGCTGACAATAATTAAAAGGTTCGAATTTCAGCCTCAGCCATCAGTGTTTTTTAAAAAACAGCTTTACAATCTTTTAACAGTGTTTGGTATTTGAGCCAACTTTGTTCACCGAACTTACCAATTGAAACGTATAAGTCCACTTATCCCAGTTCGGATTAGTTATGATAAAAAAGGTAATCAAACATGTTCACATGATAATTAAAGTTTATATTTCATATGATAAAAAGAGTTATCAATTTTCACAATGATACACATATAAATTAAACATTTCAGTTACCATCGTTACTCTGAAGATGCATTTTATTAAGAATTATCGCATTTTGACTAAACAACCAGGTGGCTGGTTCAAGCCTATTCATGTTCCTTTCACTAGGATGAGTTTAAGCAGATCGTTTCATGGCTCTAATTTTGTGAACAGTTTATCTGTGAAAGATGGGTTGCCTATGAGATTGTTATTACTTGGCAGTCCGGTATGCTACTTGCTTGGAAAGGAAAACATTATCCAAAAATTTATTATATAAAATTTTTATATAATGTTATCTCTTTTTCATAATCTATCAAGGGTTCCGGTAAAGGAACTCAGTCCTCCCGTATACAAAAAAAATTTAATATTCCTGTTATATCGAGCGGTGATATCCTTCGTCAAAATATAGCTCGTGGAACAAAGATTGGTGAAATCGCTGCCAAAGAAATCGAACGTGGAGGTGAGTCAGTGTTTAACGTAACTTGGTCACGGGGCTCGAATCTAAACGACAAGAGCGAAAAAGCAAAAAAACACTTCTAATGGTATAATTTTATATAATGTAATGTAATAAGTGGTAATAGTTTTTTTATAATGAACTAAGTTTTTTTTTTTTCTTATGTTCGAGTAAATAGCCTATGTACCGGATGATATCATGATTGAGCTAATTACCAAAGAGCTTCAGAATAAACAACAGGTACTTCTCTATAAAAAAAGTTGAAATTTGTTGTTCAATGTGTATTAATGTATCTAACATGTAATAAAAGAATTGGTTGTTGGATGGTTTCCCTCGAACTATTAATCAAGCTGTGGCTTTGGATGATAGGTTGGCCATGACAGATCGATCATTAAATTTAATAATCAATCTAAGTGTGCCAGAAGAAGTAATATTACAACGAATAATGGGTACGTGAACATTCTTTTTTTATTATGTTAAAATAGAATACATACTTAATAAATAAGTTAATTTCAGATCGATGGGTACATGTGCCATCTGGACGCGTTTATAATTTAAGCTATAATCCTCCAAAAATTAACGGTATTGATGACATTACTGGGGAACAATTGACAAAGCGTTCTGATGATAATCCTGTAAATATATTTTTATGCGAATCTGTTATTGATAATTATCACCACTAATTATGGATTTGTTTATAAAGGAGACATTCAAGATTCGTCTTCAAAAACATAAAGCCTTAACTGAACTATTATTAGAATATTATGCGAAACGTAATATATTAGTTACTTTCTGTGGTCGTACAAGTGATGAAATTTATCCACAAATTGAAAGGGAACTTTTAAAAAGATTTGGTTCTGGAAATTTAGGTTAATAATTAAACAAAAAAAAAGTGATAATTTTTGTTGATAATGTTTTCAAATATTGATAAAATTTGTTTACAGTAATCAGTTGATCAATTCTTTCTCTTAAAATTCATATATTTCATGACAAGGCCGTTCGGTATATATCTAACACATTTAAATTTGCATAATCTGGTGTCATATGATTTAAGAATGACCTTAAAACCATTCTATTTTCTTTTAATTGATGTACTTACTGAATGTAGGTTCTCGCAAAGAAATGATTCGTCTTTATTGCTATGATCTTATATTTTAACTTTAATATGAAATTTCGATTTATTAAAAAGAAAACCTAGTTATGAACAGGGGAAAGATACTATGTTACATAATCAAATGGTATGTAATTGCTTTTATTAATAACCTTTTTTCAATATTAAGTATAGCCCAACATCTTTTATTTGCGATAAGTTATAATCAAATATAAAGATTTTCAAAATAAATAAAAGTATATGAAATTCTGAAATTAAAATTTAGAAAGTCAATTATACATCCAAACACTGTGTGAAAACATCATTTTCACCACCTTCCATGATACGGGTGATTGGAGTAAATAATGGACGATTGTACTTTTTAATGTATTCCTATTATACCAAAAAGGTTAGAATTATGTAATATTGTTTATTTAGAAGTTTTATTTATACGTACTTGAGCATGCTGCAAGGAATATTTCTTTTCCATGATTGTGGATTGAAGACCAATCCAGACAAAAACTATCATATTTTTTAAAATTCCATAATTATTTTCACGTAACAATCAAAGTAAAAATCTAATGTAAGAAACAAACCTTCATGTCCTACGTCAAACACAAATACGTCCTTAGTATCGAAATGGGATATTTTGATGGTACCAGTCGTTTCTTCGGTGAACTTCAAAGTTCCTGATGCATCACTTACTCTATGAGTTAAACCAAAAAATTAATATACATTGAAAACAACATATATATTATAGTTATATTGCATTGTTCGAGTTGTTTCACCTAGATAAATTCAATACATAATTACCTAAATAATTTCTTTGGAGTACCAGAGATGTCCGCACCAGTATCTTCAGATGCAGGTTTGATTGGACCCTCACTTCCAAGTGCTTCCCAAAATTTATTCATTTCTCTATCTCCTTCATCTATAAAAATAATGATTAACATGGATTATCTTTTAATCAAATAATATCACTGTATAAAACTTGGGTACAAAACTGGGCTTACCAATAACAACAATATTAGCCAATCCCTTCCTATCGCTTACAGTAGCTTGACAGAATTCTGCAGCTTTAACTTTTTCAACCCCCTGGGAATTTTTACCATTCAATTGATATAGAGTGGTTCCCACGTCCAATACAAAAACATCACCAGAATTGAGTGACTTGTAGTCTTTTGGCACTTCACGGATTACAATCGTACGACCAATTAGCTTAACTTTCAAAAGCCGATGACGGTATTCATTGGGTGAAAGATGTTTGAAGCCAGTGTCGACACCTCCTTCTTCTACATGGAATTTTTTGAAATAAGATAAGAAAAGACTGGATTCGCTGTCTTGAACCTATGTATAATGAAAATCTCAATAAGAAATATATTAATGAGTAGGATAATGTACAAATAATTACCTCACGATGTTGGACTGGTGAAGTTCCGAGAACTTTTTTGTAAAAGTTATAAAGTTATAAAGTAAATTGTAAAATTAACCGAAATAATTTCAATTCAGACTAGAACGATATAACTTACAATCATCCAATTCCACCGTCTTATAAGCAGCAGTTCCAACTTCATCCTTCATAATATTCAGATACATCATTGAATTAACAATAAATATTATAATGGGAGACTTAATTGCTTACCTTACCTGACTACTCTCTAACCCAAGCCAAAAATGGATATCATGCGATAAAGCCTCGGTATTTTTATTTTTTTTATAGGACTTTTAATGTTTTAATAAATATGCAATTAAATGTTTAGCTTATTTATTAATCACAAAAGTTCTTTTATTTAATTACTCACATGAAGAACAATGTAACTGTCACCTAAATGCATATAGTATAATATATAATAAATGTATGTAATTTTAATTTAATATAAATATGTAAGTGCAGTTAATACTTTATAGATATTAAATATTACCAGAATAAAAGCATCCATATTTCTCCTTTGGCCAAGTTTTCACGGTAAATTTCTCGATGCGCCATACCCAAAGACCACTACGTATTAAAAGAAAAAATAAACATGCCCCAATAAATCGAATAATTCGACCTGAAATAGTTTATCTATATATGTGTATTGTTGTACTAACGGCTCAATTCCAACCTTCGTTTTGGGATCAGCCCACGCTTGTTCTTTCGCACCAGCTTGATAATGAGCATCTTTCTCGATTTTTGATCCAAAATTTGCAACATTAGTATCCGCAATGTCTAATAATACAGAACAAATTAATGAATTAGAACTAGTTTGAATTATTAATAATTGAGAATTATTTAACAACTTACTCCATTTTGGTTGTCGTTGCATGATTGATTGATTCTTTTTGTTGTGAATTTTTCAATTGCGAAATATTAAAGAAAATTTTCCCATGTTCATTGATCTACCTTTATATCGATATTTGTGTTTTTCTCGTGTTACTATGCATTAATCTTTTTTAGGTGTGTACCAGTGCGTGTTCGCAATCCCCAATATTTCGGGTTTGAATTAAGAATGTAGCCCAGAATATTTGAGGCGACTAAATTATGTGATAAACAATTTGGGCTATGTCTTTAGTCGATATCTAGCAGGAAGTTTTTACTTAATAAGTGAGCTATGTCTTCATTAGTAAAGTTGGTGGTTTTGGGCAAAATTTTGTTAATTCCAGCCTAGTCTATCATGATTCAATAAACTCTTTACAAATAGTTCGTCTGCTTAACTAGCTTACTTATATCGATATATTTAACAAGTACTTTTAAATATGCAATGTTACATAAGTAATCAATCATAATTAACATTTTTCTAGCTTCAAAGAAGTCTAGAAGCTAACTTTAAGAACATTCTTTAATAATTTCTAATTTAAGAAGGATTGGCTTTATACGTAAAAACTTCACGTTCATGCGACTATATTATATATCGATATTGTTTTTTGTATACTTACGAATAAGTTTTGATAAAGCCCAATTCTTCTAGAAAGAATTTCAATAGTATTTGCGTGTGATTTCAAGAATACTTGACTTACACTTATTTTAATATAAGGTAGAAAGGAGTAGTTTGACAACGTTAAAATAACTAATATAAAAACTTTACTTTTTTCATATTGAAAACTTTGTTTTAAACTTTATACATTATTTTTATATAAAATTAATAATACAACATCTTGTCTTAAAGTGACATTATACATCGTATAAAAAAGCTAAATATTAGAAAGGTACAATGGCCCAAAAAGAATGCATCATCTGAATAAAAAATTTTTAATGTAAATATCTTGTGATGCAAAAGCTGTCACAATTCAAGAAACTATTATTAGAATCATCATGTTGAATGTATTATAATATATGAATTTTTTTATGTAGCAATAAAAAAAAATTTATTGAGTGTTCTTTGTCATTTTTGCAATGCATTTATTTTGATCATTTTCTTTATTTCCATTTATTACATAGTAAACTTAATAAAAAACAATCTAAATACAAAAATATTTGAATGTGATTGTTCATTATCTAGTATATTTGTCTTTTGCTTTAATTATATTATTAATGTAAGTTAGCATAGATTTAATAAGATGTTTAAAAATATCTATTTTTAATTCAATTTAGATCCTTTAAACAATTTCTTACAATTCATCTTTCATTTTCATATACTTAAGTTTTTTCAATAATAATTTATTTTATTTTCATAAGTGTTCTATAGGATTCAAATTGAAGACTGTGATAATCAATTAAGTATTATTATATTTTTTTCTTTAAATCACTTTATAAATCTTACAGTATACTTAGAATTATTATCTTATTAAAAAATAACTTTATTTTTATTTAAGTAATATTATTTAATTGTTTCTAAAAAGTTTCTTTCAAGATAAGGTATCATCCATGTTTTTATAAATGCAGTAAAGGTTATTAATATCACTTAAGATAAGAAACTCTTATATTATAATCTTATTATCTTCAAATTTTCATAAAACAAACTTGGTAGTTTCTCAACAGTTTATTAGATTTCTTTTAACAATATTCTTTTCTATTAGATCCGAAAATCATGTTATTTATGTTTAAAGTTAATTTCTTTAAAATATTTATTATATATATATAATTAAGTTGTATTTTATTAATAAAAAATAAAATTTTTTTGTATATTATACAAATATAAAAATTATACATTTATAATTAATAACTATGTTGAAAATAAATAGTATGCAATTGAACAGTATATGCATTTAGATGTATGCATTTAAACAGTATTGACTGTATATAAATAATAGTTATATATATAATATATATTGTCTAGCAAGAAGTCCCAGATCTAAGCTCAATTGAATATGTTTGAAAACTTTTTTAAAAAAGAGTAAGATTATAATGACCTTCAAGTTTTAAAGTACTTGATCAATATTGTCAAGAAGAGTAGGCAAATATTACAATGTGTGATATATAGAAATATGCAAATACTGTGACTGAAAGAATTAAAGTAGTAAAAGAAAAATTTGGTAAAAATACTAGGTATTAGATTATTATTATTACTATAACAATAATACAGTAATACAGATACCATATTTTGTGGGATAAGTACCTACATAGAATTGGATGAGCTTTGTATCATTTTTTGAATCATCTTATCAAGATGAATTGAATGATATAAAAATTATTCGATTTCAGTTACTATGAGTTTTATTAATTATTAATCAAGTTAATTCTTATATTTTGTGGAATGAGTGTTTGTTGTATGTGACATAGTATATATACAATAAATGTATATGAAATTAGAATTATTCTGGTTATGATTTAATTTGTGCATTCAGGTTTTGTATATTGTATATACATAGATCTTTACTATATTTAAAGGATTTATTCAAACATAAAGAACAAAAACAGACATATGCAAAGTTTTCATAACTAATATTTAGATAAATAAAAAATATATATATTCTATTAAATTTATTTGGTAGTCTGCATATACAGGTATTATAGTCGAAGGGATACTATGGTTAGCGTGAGGGTATAAGTACGTATGTTTTATATTCCTTGTGCAAGTTATTTATCTTCAGTAATGGGCATTTTACAATTTATCCATCTTTAGCACGTCAGTACAATATATTCTAGGCTTCTGAAAATTGTGAGGGGTATTAGTCCATGCAGTACAGTAATTCTTATAATATTAAATATCAAGTTGTATTCTATTAAAAGTTAGCTACTATATTTTAAACTAAAGGTTTCGATATCCAAATAGTGAACCTAATTTAGGGTTAATTCTGGCTATTGATCGTCAATCGAAGCGGGAACCGGACACACCTAAATTGCAGTATAGTATGGCTTGAGAAGCTTTCATTCGCTCCAGCCAATAATATAAATTTTATTAAAAAAAGTTTTTAATTGAGCAAAAACTTATCTATATAGCTAAATTATTTAGCAATATTTTGTCATTTTACAGTAATCTTGTCAAAAGTATCTATTACTTATAACCAAATTGGTTTATCTTGTTCTATTTATGCTTGAATATTTTTCTTAAGCTTTTTTGATTTTGGCAGATCTATCTTAATTAAAAATATATTGAAATAAGGCAAATTTTGTTATATAAGTCATAGCAATCTCTTAATTATAATGTCTGTTATTGTAACCACTTTTAACATGACAATTTCGAGTTATAGGTTTTTTTAGTCATGTTTTTTAAAATTTGGTAAAAAGTTATTTTATTTAGTAATTTTAATTGAATCGAAATTATTTTTTTATTAAAGTGTTTGTGATAGGTTTCGAAGAAAATCATATAAAATCTCTAATATACTTTAGAAGATTCTATTACTATGATACTATACATAAAATATGTAGTATTATGAAGTACAAGTTTACATATAATACCAAAATGTTTAGAAATTTCTCATGAGAGAAACCAATTTATAACATATAATATATTTGACGTCAAATTCTATGCATAATTAAAGTCCTTAACAATATCGATATCTTTTTTGTTCTTAATTCCTTAGAGTTGGAGTGTCTATTTTTTTTCTCACGTACGTACGCGCACGAAAAAAGCGATATGGTATTTAAGCATCGAAATCGAAGATGCTATTGACGAATTCATCTTCGATAGAAGTTTTTTTAGCTACATTTTCTAATACAAAAAAATGAGTTGCCCCATTTACGTAGTCCGTTGGGACTACGTGTCGATTATTTATGCTTCTATTAACGTTTTCGATTGAGAGCCTGAGGGCCATACTTTCGTATTTCCCACGAGTAATGGGTAACTCGCTTTTCCACATTTTAGCTACTATCCCAGATAATGCCCTTTGAGGCATTCTGGGATAGTTCTTTCGTAACCAAGACTGTTTTTCTTTTCTATATATCAAAAATGAATTGGGTGTTTTTCGATTGCTTTTTGGCATTGAATTTTTTTTGAAGTTTTAAGTCAGAGAAATTCACGTCCTTTTTAAATATTTTTGAAATATATAGAATTGATTATTTAAATTAAGAATATAATATCGCTCTGGAGAAGTCCGTTCTCAATCCGTGAATAAAATCTTCTCTCATAGTTATTTGAAGCCCGCCACAAACTTAAAAGAAATTCTATGAAAGCCAAGCAAAATAAAAATCATTTGTCATTATTTGTGACATTGAATGAAATTGAAAGATATTGATATTATATCATATGTTCGGAAAAATAATAACAGTGTACGTTACGTACATGCCCGAGTTTTTTAATATTTTGACAGATGTCAAATGCGTTGGAAGTGTTACCTATTTGTTCATGCTTTTAAGGTTTCAGTCATAGTTGATTAAAAAGGTGAGCCTTTGTTTATTTTACATTTTGCTTTGTTATAATTGATATCATTAAATTATCAACCACGCGACATTAATAAATGCAAGCATTTATTTCTAAATACAAATCAGATATACAAAAAAGAAAGTAAATGAAATAAATTAATTATCAACCATGTGACATTAATAAATGCAAGCATTTATTTCCTGGAGACAAATCAGCTATATAAAAAAGAAAGTAAATGAAATAAATTTAATAATTTAGTAAATAGCATTCTTGATCGGATATTCGTGATCATTTTTATTGAAACCTTCATTGAATGATAAAAGATCCATCTGACTAAGTGCAAGAATCACTGTAAATTTTGTTGTAGCACAGTAGACTTTTAGTAAATCTCAAAAGGAAATAGTGTACACATGCGAAACGAAGAAAAAGCGAAAAAACCGAGCATTTGAAATAATCTTGGGGCATTTTAAAAAATGATGGAATACTTTAGTTGTTTTGTGTACCAATTAATCTCAAATTAAATAAGCCTATATTCAGAAATTAAAAGCTTTCAATAATGCCCATTCTTTAATGCTAAAGTTGGTATTATTCTTTGGGTGTACATGTGACACTTTCACGTGGTTTGAAGACTTGCGTACGTAAGTACTTACGTACGTAAATCTAGCTCATATAATTTCTTTGAAAAAAAATCTTATATTATTGCAATAGCATTAAAATATTCTAGATAGATTTTAAATTATTATTAGTATAGGTCTCTAAGAGGCAATCTTTCTAGTAAATCGCAAATTTAGTTTCTTACTAGCACTAACAAGCTATTAACAAAATGTAAAAAATTATTAGTTTTTCAAAAAAAAAAACCTCGTTAATAGTGTTAGTAATAAATTAAATTTGAGATTTACTATTAATAACAAGTTGCAAAAAATGTAAGATTTTTGCAATGTTGTTACAATTATACAGATAGACCTCCTTAATTCACCCTCTCTAAATGTATTATCTCCATAAATGCACTGTTAACTTCCGCATTGCGACGAATTCATGAAATTAGAGTATTTTGACTTACTATGAAGTGCGCTATTTGCTCTTTGTTTTTTTGACATTTTCTATTGTAAAATCATCTTTTGCACGGGAAGATGGGTTAGACGTTATCTATATGATTTTATAATAGGAAATGTCAAAAAACAAATAGTAAATGACGCACTTCTAATTTCATGTTTAACCTCCAGAAATACGGCTTCTCTGTATATGAATACTATCTTTTTTCAATATTATTTCTTGATTGCAAACAAATCGTATAGATATCATAATTATATCATCACAATATCTTTCAGAGAAATTGTATTTAAATTCGCAATAGTATCATTTCAATATCATTGCAATTTTGGCAAGAAAGTTATGATTATATTGTCACGATATCATTACTTAAATTGTGTTATGAAATAGATTACTTAAATTGTTATGAAATAGTGATAATTTCTTTACAACCTCGAATAAATACTATTTTAACTTCGTGATGTCTTGAGACATTATATTACAAACATTAACTATGATTATAATATAAACCAATTTGGTAAATTTATTTTTAAGAATAATAATATATATCAGATCCCATCATTTTCCCGACAAGTTAGCCTGCATTAAGTTAGGGTTCCCAGTCAATTTTTGTCGGATTTTGTTTGTCTGGATAGTGATTGTCGGGTCGAGAGACCCAATATATACTATGGTATAAATTGCATTGGGTTTTAAGAATAAAAAAAACAAAATATTTTGAGTTAAATTAGATAGAGTTGATATACAAAAAGTTAAAGGATTTAAATAAAAGATCCACACAAGGTTTAAATATAATAGCAATAGTAAAAAATATTTTAAATAGACTATGGGTTTAAGTAATATGTATATACTTTCATTAATGTACTAACCATGTAGAAACCTCTTGTAATAACTAATAACTCAAAAAATCTAATAAAAATCCAAATCCTCAGGGGAATAGTCTTAAAAATATCAATATATGTATATTCTTAATAAAAATATTGGTGACTTTTTTTATATGCTTGAATACTTCATATCAATCTATTCATGATTGATGTCAAGTATAATAATCTATAATATATACTTATTTGATACTTAAACTGATCTAATTGGACAAACAAAAAGTTTCTGATAACAGAATCGATAAATTACTTGATGGGGTAGAAATTTACGTGTCCTTCTTAAAAGAATTCCAAAGCCAACTGCTTATAACAATGCGTGATTATAATGAAAATGCTAAAGTCGTGACCCGTGACTGATCCATAATATTGATCCCAATATCTACCTAAATATCCTAAACATTGGTCCTTAAAGATAATTCAGTAAAGATATTGGTGTTGAAACTTAATGACCGAAAGCTGGTTATCATGCGAATTATTTTCGATTTATCGATTCGTTTTTTTTATGGGGAAATTATATGTTGCATATTGATTCTGCAATTGGAATAGACAGTAATAATGAAGCTACCAAATTTTTCGTCGTAGCTTGATTACATCGATAGTTGTCATATGTTGTTCCAAAAGTTTATTAGGTCAAAGGTTTACATAAACTGTTGATATTTACGGTCTTAGACCATGAATAATAACCGATTGATGATAGATGTTTTTTAAACTAAATATCCTAATTACTAGATCCAGTTTAAAGGACGTTTGATTATTATCATTATCCGGATATCCAATTATAATCATTCCAAATTTTATATCGATATTGAATACTTTGTATTATATTTAAAAAACGATATATACGCGAAAATTTTTATTTATACATTTATTTATGTAAATTCAATTCATCCAAATTTTTATACTTTTTTTTAACTAAAAATAAATTATTAATCTACTTGTCAACAAACTTTTACTACAAGAATCCCAAAACTTGTTAATCTCTCAACAATTTTTTTGAAAAAAGAAATCTTAAAATCTTTAAATATATCTATATTTTAGGAAAAATCTACACTCCATTCTTCAGTGATCAACAAATCCGTGCCTTTTATAATAATTACATCAGCTGAAGTTGTAGCAGCAAAGCCAAATTGTAATTCACGTGAGAAATTTTTTGTGGCTTCGATGCAATTTGCAAAAATGTTTTTAGGTTTTACATCAAGTCCTAATACTATGATTCGTTCAACACGAACAGAATTAATTGACTGTGCATATAAATTTTTATCATTTTTAAGTAATGATAATGATTTAGAAGCAAGGTTTCTAGCTGAAAATTTAAATTGAAGGTGAACGAAATGTCCTTTTTCGTAATCATATGTTTCCCCATCATCTAAATACAGTGAACCAGTTGCTTCACCCTTAAAAAAAATATATAAATTATTATTATCGAGGTATTAGAATAAATGGAATATAAATGGAATATAAATGGGACACTCACTTTTTTATCTAATGCTATCAATAAAGTAAAAGGATCTGTACGCATGGCTGCTGAAGAACGTCGAATTCTTTGACGTTTTGGAACAATAGATCCACCGCGTAAAAAGACAGGAATCTTATTTAGTGGGGCTTCAATTTGTACTTTACCAGTTCCGTGAATCTTTTTAAGAGTAAAATAATCATAATATATCTGAAAATATTCATTAAAAAATATATCTAATGTTAATAAAATTACCATGACTATATAATTTTATGAAAATATCTCTCACCTCATTTCCTGGAAAATAGACCTCAGTAGATGTTTGACCTTGGTTTACAATAGGTTTGACAAGCAATGAGTTACCAACAAAGAATTGATCTTCCATTGCATAAGTTTCTTCTTCTTCAGGATAAACTGTAAATATAGGTCTGATATATAATATATAATAAGACATAAGTTAAAGAAAGGCAAGTAAACACAAATAAATTATATTACGTGATACCTTATTATTGGCATCCCTGTGGTACTAGCTTCGTGGAATAGAGTATACCATAAGGGTAACAACGCATATCTTTCTCGTATTATATCACGGATATAACCTGTGTACGGGTCGCCGAATAACCACGGTTCGCGTCTTTTGGTATCTATGTGAGCATGTGCACGGAAGAAAGGTTGAAAAGACCCTGCTTGGTACCATCGAATCAAGAGTTCAGGCTCAGGGTTACCAAAGAATCCACCAACATCAGCTAAAATGGCACTAGTTAGCATATATACCAAACAAAGATCAAGAGTTTTTTTTTTTTTTTTTACAAAGCATAAGTAGTCATCGTACCTCCAGAAAATGGTAATCCAGAAATACCAATAGTCAATAACATAGGGGTCGATATAGCCAAATGGTCCCATTTTGCAAAATTATCGCCTGTCCAAATAGCGCCATAACGCTGAGAACCCGCAAAAAATGCACGGGATAATACAAAAGGTCGGCGTGGTGGATTATGGCGATTGATGAGTCCTTTAGCAGTTGTACTATGCTATAAAATACTAATTACATCAATAAATTGTCTTATAAAAGGATAACACGCAGGGAAATTTAATGCAAATTTACATAGGCAAGTCCGTAAAGATTGTGCAAGTCGCGGTGTTCCCAACCATCATAATGAATGAGATCTTTTGGCATTGTTATTTCCGGGCCATTAAATACAGATGGCTTAAAATTTCGAGGAAAAAAAAAACGAATTTTAAGATAAAATAATTTATCTTAAAAGTAATCTCATGTGAAATAATAATAATCATACTTCATTCATATCATTCCATGTAAATAAAAATTCAGTTGATCCCTTTTAAATTCGGTATTAAAGAAACCCAATTACTATCGAATATTAAAAAGCAATAATTGTTCGAATAGTGGATGAAATCAACTTACTTTATATTGATCAAATGCAAACTTTTTGATCCACCATGTTTGAGCAGAGGGATTAGTATAATCTACCCAAGATGAACTACCTGCATTTATATAACTTTTAATAAATATAATAAAATAAAAAAAGTAATATGATGTCGTGTAAAGCCTAATTAACAATATATACCTGGCCAACACCATCCATTGAATACTCGGCCGTCAGATTCTTTGATAAAGAGGTCTAAGTCTCCGGCCTCTTTATGAACATAAAAGTCGTTATCTACTTTTATATGTGGATCAATGATCGTCACCATCTATGCAAAAAAAATTTACATAGCATTCATTTAACAGATTATCATTGCAAAAAAATATAAAATGTTAAATAAGCTCAAAGTTCTCATAATCAAATATACCTTCCGTCCTTTTTTTCCAATAGCATTTTGCATTTGTTCAGGAGAAGGAAATTTAACACTGTCCCATGTAAAATATTTTTTCCCATCGGTATGCTCAATATCTAGCCATATTACATCGTAAGGAATATCATATTTGTCAAATCCTTCATCTACTTCAGCAACATCATCTTGGTTGAGATAATTCCAACGACACTGATGATAGGCAATCGCAAAAGATTGAGGTAATGCGGTGAATCCAGTAAGTAATCCATATTGACGGAAGATGTCGGAGGTTGTTGGACCAAGAAAAGCGAATACATCGATAATACCAGATTCTGAAAACCAATGAGTATTGGTTGAAGTAGGTGTTGATTTACCAAAACCAAGTAGACTAGATAGTCTATGCTAACAAATAATAAAGAAGAATTAACATATATATTCTCAGAACTTCATTTACAACTAGTTTATGAATGACATTTAAACTACTTTATCCTCTTTATTCTTAGTTATATCAATCCATGTTTCTGCCGCATTTAACCAAAGAATGGCAGCCGATGCACCCTTTCGATGAGCCATCATAAACGGAATGGAACCGTAAAGGGCCATTGGATTATCTATTTCATATTCAAACACATCCAAGTTATATAAACGATAAGGATCAGTGTAAGCACCGTCACCTCCTCTAATAAAAGAGAGAAAATAAGATGAGCCACTCGAAAAAAATATGCTTCAATTATTACACATTATTATATACCTGGTTTCTTTTAATGAAAATGTTGACGCGTGTTCAGGAATGCCATATACATGACCGAATCCCGGAAACGAAATATCAAGTCCAATAGATTCAGGACCTATTTTGCGAAAATTAAATGATAAAGCTATTTGCTGAATATAGTAAATGTAAACAGAGGTACATTACCATTTGGTTTTGGATCCTCTTTTCCATTAAAAGATTCTTTCCATAGACCTTTATCAATCTCGTTCTCTTCTATGACATTATTATCGCTATTACTCTGATCAACTAGACGAGGTGCATCTTTTTTTCTTAAATGCTCGAAATTGAGGAAACCACGATCATTTAATGTGATAATTGGCATATCATTGACCAAAAATTCGACACGAAACGGTGAATGATAAATTGAAACAATTTGTTTTCTTTCTTTGCCGAAAGATAAAGATGTGACACCAGGTTTAGTAGAAGGGATCAGAGTATATTCTAAAGTAATCAATGGATCTTGAACAAGAGCCCAATCTTTCACTTTGTCATAACGAGGTTTTAATGGTTTTTTTTCATTAATTCGAAGCCTTGCAGCACCAATATCCAATAGATGCAATTCAAAAATGAAAATTATATTATTTTCAGAATTGATAAGATCACCAGAAATTATACCATCTTTGATTATGATAGAATCTTGAATTACAGAGTAAGGAGATACAAGTGAATTATTCGCTGTTAAACTATCGGCATAAGCACGATTACGTTTACAAAAAGAGCTCTGCTCGCATGTTTTAAAATCTTGTCTCTTTACAGCTGTAACAATGAGGGTAGATACGATAAAGTATAAAAAGCAAAGAAAATAAAATGTAATTTTAACGGAAGCTTTACTAAATTGTAAATTTTCAAGCAGAAATTTCATGATCTTAAATGATGAAAAAAGACAATGTCAAATAATTCTATTTACGATAATTAAAGAAAGAATATTAATTTATGATGGACCGTAGATCTATCCTTTTATATTTTTTATATGCACGAATTTTTTTTTAAGCATTAGAAGAGAATTTTTTGGATTAGCCACACGGTACATTCGACACTTTTTATATATGTATCGAAATGGTGGTTATGTTAACAAATAAATTTACTATATTATTTATGCTTAATTCTATAAGCAATAATAAATGTGTTTTTTTAAAAAAAAAAAAAGAAGTCCATTATGTTGTCAGGAGTCAAAACGTACGTAGCAGTAGATTAACTTTTTTTTTTATTATCATTATTGATTAAAATAGAATTAAATTTAATTATCTTTGTCGTATTGTTACACTTGTTCCACCTAACTAGATATCCTTGTTATATACCTGTTTTTACCAGATAGGTTTACTTAACCGGCTTAGTCGAAATATGATACATATTTCTGCATAAAAATTGCCAAGACCCAAGATCCTGTGACTGTACTTAATCAATTACAGGTTCTTGTTTGGCAACATATAGTTTAATGAAACCTGTTGATATTAAAGAAAAGTGACAAGCAAGGATTCTATTTATATTCATAGAATGACATTCATAATTTAACATCTATCAGATAGTACGCGAATAAAATTATTTATTCACTCTTAAATAGTAATTCTATTTTATCTTTACAGTCGACTCTGGATATACCGAACTGCATGTTCTGGGGGGCTTTGTTCGGTATAGAGTGTGTTCGTTATATAGATTATTTTTTCTATACCGCTCAGTTCGGTATACAGAGCTAACCAATGAAGTCATGTATAGGACCACAACGGGTCAGTAAACCTTCAGAAATTTTGCTCCGGTCCGGAAGCTTTCGGAACGGGTATTATATAGTTCGTTATATCGAAATATGTGCACATAGTCCTGGGTTGGTAAAGAAGAGTTCAGATGCGGTATATAAAAATTTACTATATAAGTTCGGTATAGCCAGCCTAAATTCTTATAAAAAATCGGTCCTGCCAGATCTGGTTCGTTATAACCCGAGTTCTGTATAAGCAGGTTCGATATATTCAGAGTCGACTGTATCAACACAACCTTTTTTAAAGACACATAATGATATTTAGTTCATATAATTAATACAGTAATACTAGCAGGTCTAGATGTTGGAACCGGTTTTAATAATTCGTGATATTTCGGAAATTTATCCAATTAAATTTTAATAAATTCTAAAATATCACAAAATTTTTGTAATAAACCCGAATTATTAAAACCAGTTCCAACCTCTAGTGAAGGCAATTAATTGCAATTTTTGTCGGAGTTTGCAAAATGTGTTATAGAACATATGTAAAAAGTATATTTACTGACCAAAAATTTGTATTTAAAAAAAACATGTAATTTAAAAAATCAAAGATATCTAACGATCTTTTTTTTTATAATAACCTGCACAATTTATATTTCCTTACGAAGACACATATATCAAATAGCGCTCTAAATCTCTATTTTTAAATTGGTTTGATGAGCGCAAAATTTCCATACAAGAGTTACATAGAGGCCTTTTTAAACTTGCAGATGATGCACTCTAAAACTTTATCATAACAAAATTGCAATTAATTACAATTAATTGCAATTACTTGCAATTAATTTAAATTTAATTGTTGTTTATAACAATTTTACTTGATCTTAATTGTATAATAATTTAATTGCAATTAAATTTTCGGTACCCCTGAATACTAATAATAAAACACGACATTCAATAGAACTGAGGTTTTATGTGAGTATTAGTCCTAAAGTTTAATATGAAGATGGTAGAGTTAGTACAGTAAGCGTACAGTTGATGGAGGTTAAACTTTAAATTAAATGACCAATGGGACATATTATTTTTAGGTCATTTAGGTCATAGATTTATATCCAATCAAATTGCATATTTTTTTAAAATTTATTGACAATACGCATACCAAAATAGAGCTATGATCTTATGACAAAAACAAAGCTGAATCGTTGAGTTCTTGCGAAATAGTGACAGTTTCAGTTTCTAATTTCATTCAAATCTTTTTTTTGTATGCGTAAATACTCGACCTCAATAAATGATAATGAAATTTATTTTATCAGCACTCATAATATGTAATTTGAACTAGACTACACTTCAATAAAAAAACTCATTTATATATAATTGTTACTCTTAACCCTCTTAGCATAATCATTAAAATCATCATTGAACAATAATTAAATAAGATAATTATATTTATTATAAAAGATACAATTAAAAAACGGCATAAAGTATAGGAGCCTTTATAGTAGAAATAATCAAAAAAAATTATTTTGAGATAATCATCGGAAATATGGTGTTGGTTAAAAATTTCGATGTGCAGCCTGATTTTCGCACCAGAATCTTACAAAATCTTATTTATTGATTCCCCTTTCTACTGCTTTCTTAATGAGATTTAATATACGTGCGACTAACTAATTTAACCAGTTTTGGTAATACCAATTGAATACGTAAATTGTATCAACTGTGATTTTAGGCAGTCTTAACTGAAACATAAATTTTTTACTAATTAAAGCTATTTTTAATTTATCGTTAGTAGAAAATTTTTTTATTCACTCATCTATGTACTTGGAAGATGTTTCACTTTCTATAACTTTTTTACCGTAAATTCTCGAAATAGCGAACATCTGCGCGCTATTTTGAGTGCGTGCATGTTATTTCGGATACGTCTAGGGCGCTATTTCGAGATAAAGCATTAGTTTAGAAACTCCATTAATATACACCTGATTTACTATTACATATTCGTCATTACTCAATATGTTACCAATACCCACGTTATTTATTCAATACTTATTCATTTGAGGTACGCGCTATTTCGAGACGCGCATGGGCGTTGTTTCGAAACTATGTTATTTTTAAGAGGTACAATTTTCGAAACAACGCTATTTCGAGAATTTACGGTATATTGTATTGTTACAGGCAATAATAAGTATCATTTCCGAAAATAAAAATAAATCTGCACCATAAATCCCATGAGTAAATAATTAAGACAACACAAATATTAAGGGTTTGAATCTTCGGTTATGTCACATTAGGCTGTCACCCAAATAAACAGACGCGAAGCTAAAAGATTCTCAATGAAAGTTATCTGTTGAAATTCTAAACGAAACCTCAAGAGAAGCATTAAGAAGGGATGCTTCCAAGTTAAAGGGCATAACATCGAGAGTGATTGGTTACGACCTTTATATGCGGGGAAGGACGTATGGGTCACTATGGATCACTATAATAAACTTATTACAAGATCCAAGTCACCATAGCCGCGCCTCTGGCGAGTTGCATTACCCATTTTCCCTGTATTAGTTCATCTTGTCGTTATACAAGTGCTGCCAAGGGAAAAAGACACTTCAGGCGTTTAAGTATACTAGAAAAACGGTGACGTTTTGTAGGCTGAAGCCTTAATTTCTAGGTTTTATGTTTCAGAATTAAATTTAAAATATAATTAGATTTTATAAATTGCTATTACATTTAATATTTATCATAAATTATAAAGAAAGTAATCTGAGTTCTTCCATTAATCTTTGCTGTAAACGTGCATTTTGCCCTAATTTTTGTAATCTATCAAAGGAGAACGCGCTATCGAAAAGAAGATTAGTAAGAGTTCGAACCCTTGATACACCTACAAATGTAAGACCAGTTGCAAATTCTTTATTTCCAAGATTTATTACGGCTTGTGGTAATGTTAAACCTTGTGACTTATGAATAGTAATTGCCCAAGCAAGGCATAAAGGAAACTGCATGCGTGAGCAAGTTCCTGACTTTCCCTCCCAAGTATATTTAATGGGTCGAATTGGTACAACTTGATGATAGTTTGATATAGACAAAGTTGGCCCAGTATAATTGTTCATTTTAATTAAAATTACTGTAGGAAGTGAAGGAGAGGTTCTTCCTAGCTTATATATAATATCAACGATCATACCCATTGCTTCATTAACTAAACCTTGATTAGTTCAGAGATTAGAAATAAGCATTACACAAGCACTAATAGATAAAAATAAAACAGATTCAAGGCCATTTGTTGTGTCAAAAGGTGCATTTCTAGCACCAGTACCACTATGCACAGTTTTTATCTTAGCAATAGAAAGATTAAGCTGTTTTAGTTTAGTAATGTTATACTCATCAACATGGTCCCAAATTATAGATAGTCAAATAACATTTTTGAATTTAACTTCTTCTGTTGGTGAAACTAATGTGTAAACTCTATTGTTAAGTAATTGCCAATCATCTTCTGTAGATCTTCCATTGTGTAAGTGCAAAAGAAGACTATGAAATACATATTGTTCTTTTGAATTTCCAGCTTGTCTCTGTATTGTTTCTAATCTGAATGCTTTATTAAATTGTGTATAAACTTATAATCTGCCTTTGACATAGAATCATACAATCAGGTGTTTGGTGCATATATTAAAAGGTTCAAAACAGGCAGAAGTTAGTCAAAATCACCAAAAAACAATACAAAACAGTTTCCAAATAGCATATCTTGATTGTATAAAAAAGCTTGGCATAAGTGTTGATTAATTATCCTAAGAAGTTTACAACTAATTATATTCTTTTTATCAAATAAAATAATTTTAACATTTTTAAATGATTGCTGAAACCTTTTTAAAGATTCAGAATTGAGTTCTAAATTTTTAAAATTTATAGATAGTAAAAATGCAGAATGAATTGTATAATTATTTATGCTAAAAGTTATAACACCAGTTGGGACAAGAATTAATACTAGTGAATCTTCTTTTGGATTAATTTCATATTCTTGTGCCATCCCAAACATATGATTATAAATAGTTTTAATAATATATGATTTACTAGTATTAGCTATACCCATAACAATAGCATGTAAAGACTCTATTGGTTTATTTAAATCTTCAAGAATTGTAAAATAGAACATTTTTAATTTGCGCCACTGGTTAATTATAACCAGATGACTATAAATAATCACTGGTTATAGTTAACCAGATGACTATTAATAGTTATTGGTTATAGTTAACTAGTGCTTATTATTAACCAATAATAAATATTATCTGATTTATACTACTGCGTCTATTAACTATAAATAAATAACCAAGAATAAATAATAAATACTACTGCGCCTATTAATGAAGAATAAATAATATACACTATTGCGCCTATTAACGAAGAATAAATAATAAATAATAAATTGTCGCATCTATTAATCAACAATAATATACATAGTCGTGCCTATTACTAACCAATACTAAATAATATGTTTATTACTTATCAATAAATAATATGTATTATCACACCTTAATTAATATATAAATCAAAATAAAATGTAGTTGATTATAAGTTTCATTTCACTCAGCTTATAGTCAGTGTACCTGTGATGCTTTATACTAAAAAATCCTAGCAAAAAATGTTGTACTCTTGGATGAGTTATGCTTTATCTTAGTTAAAAATATATGTCTATTACTTATCGATAAATAATATATATTATCATACCTTAATTAATATATAAATCAAAATAAAATATAGTTGATCATAAGTTTCACTTTGCTCAGTTTATGGTCAGTGTACCTGTGGTGTTTTATACTAAAAAATCTCAACAAAAAATGTTGTACTCTTGGATGAGTTATGCTTTATCTTAGTTAGAAACATAATATACCAAATTTGATAATTAAATCAAATAGAATTTTTTGCCAAACTTGACAAAAAGTTCAGTTCAATTTGATTTTTATTTTGTTTGAATATGGTTACAAATTCAATAGTTAATTAAAGTAATTAAATTCTTGTTTATTAAAATAGTATCTTAGTTGAAACATAATATCATATATGTATCTCATTTAAACAAAATAACAATTAAATCAAAACAAGAAATTTGATTTGATTGTTATTTTGTTTGTAATTAATTACAAATTCAATACAAAACAAAATAGTTAAATAGAGTAGAATAAGTTTTTGTTTATTAAATTTGCTAGTAATCTATTTTTTATATACAGTATATATAATAACTACATTAAGTAATAATATATTATTAATTAATTTAACCCAAACCTTTAACTATATTTAATCCAAATCTTTAACTATATTTAACCTGAACCTTTAACTATACCTTGACAAATTATATAAATGAATATTGTGTCCTTTAGCATGACAATTTAAGCAAAAATATTGATTGACATTTTTATAATTAGTACTTAATAGTTTTTTAGTTTCTTGTTCAAGTACATTCTTCTGTTTTCTACTTGGTCAACCCTTAACTGGCATAACTTTTGGATTAATAACTTGAATAATATTTTCTTAATCTTGATTTGATGTAGTATTAGCTTTTAGAAGCTCTTTCTTTTGCTAAATAAATTAATGACACTAATTATTTACTTTCTCATTAGTTTTTGTCTTCATTGCTAATGTTAGAACAGTTTGCAACAATCTATAATTTTTACTATAATGTATTTGATCTTGTAGGAATTTTTTATTAGGTTTTTTGAATCCTGAAGCCTTATGTATAGAGGTAAGTTGATCAAATTGGTTGAATAATATATTTTAATTAGATTGAATTGGTGTAATAGGTCTATTAGGATTATTATTATGTAGTCGAATTGGTAAAATATTATTGAAAGTATCTTCTGGTTCATTAAAATATGCATCTTTATACTATCATTGCATTATAAATAAGATATGAAAAATAGCTACATTTGATTCTAAAAAAATAGCAAAGTAATGCTGATATACAATTCCATAACTAACTGGCCAAGTACATGTACATAAAAATGAACTATTTTTAAATATAATAATATAGTATATATTTGCAAAACCCGTAAGTCTAATTACACACCAAGCTTCTTGAATTTTATCATCTGACACATTGTTTAGCATAGAGTTAATATGTATTTGTTGTGAGTCATAATTGTCTTCAATACATTGTCAGTAAGTTCAGGTTCATTGTCATAATGTTCTTGTAAAATATTATATAAATAACATCTATACCAAAATGCTTGTTAAATTTGTTGCTTTATTTTAACAATTATATAAGGAATAAAGTATTTTTCATATATTACAATAATTTCAGAAAATAATGTTCTACTTATTAATTATAAGTTGCTATTATGATCAAAGTTTATAGTCTCTTGAGAATGACTATATTTATTTTCCAAATAAAGATGCTCCTGAATTACATTATTTAGTTTAATCAAAGATGATGTTTGGTTAATACTAGATTTAATAAAGTTATTGTAGCATTCTACATGTTACATATTCTGAATTTCAGCATTAAAAACTTGTATTGTAAAACAATAGGCCCAACTTTGCTTTGATTGGTAAAGTTTATGTAAATAACTTTCTATAGCTAGGTAAGTTTTAATTAAATGTTCATATCAGTATTCAAATACAGCTTCTTGTAATGAATTTTGTATAGCATAAAAATGATTCATAAACTGATTATATTGTTTATCAAGTTTTAACTGTGCTTTTTTTTTTACATTATTATTAATATGAAATACACAAAGATAGTGATAAGTTGTTGTAAATGTCTTAGCAATCGCCACAGTTATTGCAGGATCAGAATCTGAAAAAATAACATCAGGCTCATAATCTGGATTTCTTTTTTTAAGACATGTAAAGAGCCAATTAAAAGAGTTCATAGATTCATCTGGCAATAATATCTAAGCAATCAATCTATTTCTAGTATTATTATTAATCACAATCATCAGAACTAATAATCAGTGATATCGATTAGTCTTGCAAATTGTATCCAATAAACAAATATTACTAAACCTTGTTAATAACTGTACTTGTTTGTCTGACTGCCAAAAAATCCCTTTAAGTTTACTATTTATGTCTCCAATTACAGGTTCAACTACACAACCAGAATCAATTTTTTTTTGTTATAAAAGATGACTTAGTAAATTAGCAGTGTCATTTTTAAGCCTTTTATGTGTACCTCTTAATCGGCTTATTACATTATAGATATTTTGTAGTTTAATAGAGTGATTGGGATATTTATTTTTAAGTAAGTTAATTATCTTACTAGGTTGAATATAACATTGATAATACAACTCAACTTTATTGAGCATTTTATTGTTTAATCTGTAATATTTTGAAGTATTATTTTTAATATTATTATCTATAGAGTAGTTGTGAATAAAATCGTCATCTAGTAAAGAACAACATATTGATATTGCTTTATTACACATTAAAAAATTACAATGCCATTTGCAATTTGTAATATTTGTATCATGGTTATATTGATTATCAAAATCAATTATTTTTTTAGGTTTCTATTGTTCAGATAAATAACATACACAGGTAGTGTTCCATACTGTTTCATCATCACACATATATGTACATCTCTTTTTAATAGCAAACTCACATTCCATCAAATACTTTTTAAGTTTTTTCCCAGCATTTTCAAACATATCAAAATAATCATTAACATGTAAATTAAATAAATATCTATAACTATCATAACTATTAACATCATTATCACTATCACTTTTATAGAATCAGATAACTCACGCAAAGTGAATTGTTCAATATAGAGTTTCAGATGAGAAGTATCAAGATGGTTAAAAGTAGGTTCAGAAAAGATTGGTGTGGTTTGTAAATCAATAGGAGAGTTATTTTTATAGGTATGTGAAAAGTTTAATTTAGAATATTCCTGTAATAAATTATAAACTTTAACTTGTGTTCTTTAAATAATATGACATTTAGTTAGTATAAGTTTTTCAAGATACTTGATATAAATAGCAAAAGCTGAGATTAGCTTTTGCTACTTATATCAAGTATCTTAAAGAACTTACATTAGTTAATTATAGTATAATATATTTAATAGTTCTTCCAACTGACCTGAGACAGTTCTAAAGTGTTGTTTCTGGAAGTATTTCTTAATATATTTGAATCACTATATTTAGTGGTAACCTGATGGGTCTAAAATATTTAATAATAATACAACAGTTTTGTCACTAATATAACCATTTAACTAACCTAAAGCAGACTTATATTAAACTTTAAAGAAGTCATAGTAGTGTTTTTATAAAGAGCTTCTGATAATGTTTTTGCTCCTTCTAAACCAAGTTTGTATGCTCTAACACTTCTGGACAAATAAACATCATTCATTAAAAAACCAGGTGGTTCGTTAAATTCATTATGGGCCTTTAATAATATAAGATAGGTTGAGTATATACAATATATTACTTTCTATATAAAAATCAAATAACATGATGTCTAGAAAAAAAAAAAACCAAATAACTTGAGACAGAGATGGAGATGGGCATAAATTAGAGTTCAAAAAAGTTAGGGCAATATTTTTATAAAGTGCTTCTGTTAACATTTTTTCTTTTTCTAAACCAAGTTTATTAGTTTCAAAAGAATGATGGATCTTAAATAATATTAGATTAGACAACATTAATAATGTTAGCATATTGAAACAACTTTGACTAGCCTTTTAACTAACCTTGAGTTGTCTTAAAAATACATTTCTGAGAGAACCAAACAACAAACATAACTTTGAACAGTGATATATTAGTATTAAAAACCTTTAATCAATAGCTTTACACAACATTCAATAATACTTTACTGTAATATTTCACTTTTATTGAAAGCCATAGTGATTGCAATAAAAGAATATCTTGTATTATCTTAAACAATTTTAACAGTAGTAGTACATAACTTATCACATAACAAATGAAATTAAATAGTTAATTTTATTTTTCAAAACCACTAGTTAAAATTAGCCATTTACTATTAATGGTTAAGTCTAACCACTAGAGCAAGTTATAATTATTCTTTATAATTTAATTTTAAAAATATTTAAAATTTTAAATACTCAGAATAATGAAATTCAAGTAGTTTGAAGTGTGACAATTTTCAGACTAGAAGTTTGGAAAATTTAATTTTTATTTAATTTCTAATTTTTATTTAATTTCATAATTT